AAATCGGCTGAAAAGTGGATTAGAGGATATATCAAAAATCTTTATGAAGGTCCGAAAAAAGATGAGACTATCATATCTGGCCTATTTGATTTCTGAGATTAGATGATTTTGGGGTATACCCCAAGTATTATTATCTGCGTTTATATGCCTCCAGCATACCCGAGTACATACCTAGAAAAGTGTAGGCTTCTGCTAATATTTATATAATAGATTACGCAGAAGCCTACACTTTTAGATACACATTCAGATGTCCTCCTTTTACGATTTACTACCCAAGTATAAGTATTCAATATATGTCACATTTACCCGGGTGCATACTAGCTTACTCTAAATACTCACATATACCTGAGTACCTATCTAAAAATAGGGCCTTCTTCCATTATTTTATATAATAATTCTGAAGAAGGCTCCATTTTCAGTTGTATATCCAGATGCCTTTCTTTTACGATTTGCTATCTAAGTTCGCTATCGCTTCTTTTTTATATCTATCAAAAAAAATCACGTCAGGATATAATTATTACGAACTTACTTATCCTAAATTCCACCTAGCAAGAATACATTTATTCACATCTAGATGCTTTCACTATTCCCGAGAACATATCTTGAAAAATGAAGGCTTCTGCTAATATTTTATAATAATAGATTACACAGTTACCTTCACTTTTAGATATATAGCCAGTTGCTGTTCTTTTACGTTTTTTAACTAAGTTTGCTATCGCTTCTTTTTTGTATCCATCGGAGCATAGAATTTGCGCCAAAGAAGCCTTCACCATACCCAAGTACATATCTAGAAAAGTGGGGCCTTCTGCTATTTTTATATAATATAATTACACAAAAGGCTCCACTTTCAGATACATATCCGCTTACCTTCTATTTACGATTTGTCGACTAAGTTTGCTATCGCTTCTTTATTGCATTCATCAAAAAAATTAATTAAACATTTCGAAAATATATTGGAGTATATAAACTTTTACCTACTGACGACATGCATACCTCAACTAATTTCGACCAAACTGTTCGCACTGGAACCGGCCCCCTCGCTCGCTACGACGGCGCCGAGACCATAGCCGGTGTTCCATCACATAATGATATTGTGGCAGAATTCGATAATAGAACCACCTCTTTGATCCAACAAAGCCTATCTAGCAAACAGCTCATACATTTTATGCCTACTGAAGTTAGTGATGATACTAAATATGTAAATGGGATCTCCACTTATATTTTGCGTATCACTGGTTCTTTGATTAATGGGCAAAAGGCAGTCGTGAATATTACAGGCATCAAACCCTTCTTTGATGTCAAAGTACCTGAAGAGATGCTGTTATCTATATTTAAGACCAAATTGGTAAAGATATTATCTAATATTCTTAATAGCACATTGAGGTTTGGGATTGAGACTATTAGTGCTTTCCCACTTCAAGGGTATCATACAGAAAAGAAACTATATATTCGTGTAAGAACATGGAATCACTACGACTGGTATAATGCATTAAAAGCAGTCTGTGTTGTTGGTATGTGTACAGCTTCGGATGATCTAAATTGCCAGTATTATTACCGCAAAGTAGCCTGTGAAGAAAAATTACCTCTTTCGAGTTGGGCAGTATTAAGTGATTATTTATACGAACACATTCAGGGGGGTACTTATCTCTTCCAAGTATCTGTGAATAATTACAATCCAATAAATGAAGGCGATTATAATAATCTATTATTTTCCTCGGCGCTTTCATGGGATCGCACCCTTGTTCTCACGTGGGATATTGAAACATATAGCTTACGAAAAATGGGTGAGATGCCTAATGCAAAATACGAAGAAGATGTTGTATTCATGATTTGTATGACAGTTCACTGGAAAGATAATCCCGAATCATTAAAACGAATTTGTCTTGTTGATGTTGAAACAGTGCCAGACTCGCAATAGATTACAATCATATGTGGATCCCAGACCAATTTACTAAAAGCATTCGCATTGTGTTGGAAACTCTTAGCCCCAGATATACAAATAGGCTTTAATGATTCACAATACGACTGGAAATTTATTGTAGAGAAGGCTAATAAATTAGGAGTTCTCGAATGGATGTTCAATCATATGTCATTCAAGCCATCGAGCCTTGAAAAAATTATAAAATGGGAATATCGATATAATGTAATAAAAATAAATGATGGAAATTTCTATTCGAAACATCTTAAAATTCTTGGCTGTGTGGCTATTGATGTTCGCCCTTGTTTTAAGGGATTCTATCCAAAAGCTGAAAAAAGTAGTCTTGCATATTACTTAGGGGAGTGTGGTCTTGACAACAAAATGGATTTACCTATTCATCGCATGAACAAATATTATGAGAGGGCATTAAAAGAAACAAATGCCACAACGGCTGAGCAGATGCGTAAAGTAGCTGATTATTGCATTATTGACGCTCTTAGCTGTCAACAGTTAATGATTAAGCATAATGTAATTAACGAATATAGGGAGCTTTCAAGTATAGCCTTTCTATTATTGTTCGATGCACATTATTTTGCAGTAGGAATGAAGGTGTGTAATCTTGTATGTGCTAGTGCATGGCAAAGAGGGATCCTACCCAGTACAATTTCAAAAGAGGGGGTTGAAACTGAAAAATATCCTGGAGCTTATGTCTTTCCACCAGTAAAGGGTCTTGAAAATAGATGCCCTGTAACCGGTTTGGACTTTGTATCATTGTATCTGAGCCTTATTATAACATACAACCTCTCACCTGATAAAATAATTTTATTTCGAGAGCATGCTAAACAAAGTGGCAAAAAGCTTTACAGAATTAGGTTTAAATTCAATGATTAGGATATTCTTGCATGGTCCATTCAGCATAATAACATTCCCGAAGAGAAAGGTCTCTATGCCAATGTATTGGAATGTTTATATATTAAACGAGTTGAGATGAAAAAGCGTCTTGCCCCTTTGAAAGAAAAAAAGGAAGACATAAAACTGGTAATAGGTTTAATGGATAAAGATTTGTCACTACCAGAAGCTATCGAGCAGGTTTTAGCAAAAGCGGAGGAGAAAAAATGTGCTAGCCTTAACAAAAATTTATACTCTTTTATCAATAAAAGAAAGCATGAATTCATAGCAGAATATAATTCAGTTTCTTTTCTCTATTCTTGCTTAGATGCAAAACAAAATACTCTTAAAGTATACATGAATACGTTTTATGGTACTGCTGGAAATAGCACATCACCTCTCTTCTTGCGTGAACTTGCTGGGGGTGTCACATCAGCTGAACAGAGAAACATCAAACTTGTTGCAGATTTTGTTAAAAGTAAGGGTTTCCAGATAAAATATGGAGATATGGATTCTTTATATCTAGTCTGCCCAGAAGGATGCTTTCAGGAATGTGATGAGGCATATGACTATAGCAATGGGATCTCAAAAGAAAAATATTGGTCTCGAATAGTAAAAGTCTCTATGAGGGTAATGGAAAAACTTCACGATGAAGTTATTGGTTTTCTCAAAAAAGATAATAGATCTTCTTATCTTATGAGGAAGTCTTATTCCCAGTAGTATTTACTGGAAAGAAAAAATACTACGGCATTTCACATGAAAGCAAGCCAAACTTTAATAAAAAGCTTTTTATTCGGGAGGGTAGAAACTGTAAAATGAGGGCATTCTTCCCATTTTCGCAAAATAGGAAAGCATATTATGGATGAATCTATGAAGATAAACAATACATATACCTTGCATCAGATTGTAGAGAAAGTACTTAAGAAAACCATAAACGATATTTCTCAGATAGACCTTAATGAATTGGTTCAAACTAGTGCGTAGAAGCCTGATAAAAATAATAAATCTGTTCAATGCTTTATTTCACGAATGCAAGATAGGCATATTCATGAAAAAGCTAAAGCCCAACAACTTATAAAAAAGGGCTTGATGCCAGAACCTTATCTTTACCAAATTCCAGAGCCGGGCGAGTGCTTTGAGTATATTGTAGTTGAAAATAATTCATCACAGAAGGTGAGAGATAAAATGGAGTATCCAGAGGTAGTAAGGCAACTAGGTAAAAAGATTGATATTAACTATTATCTGAAAAGTGTTGTCGAGCTCTGTGCATGTTTTATAAATTATAGTTATCAGCTGTCATTTGAAACTTTGCTGGAAGCCTTAAAAAGGTTAAAAGGAGATAATGGAGCTGATGGGAATGGAGCAGATGGGAACGAAGCAGATGGAAATGGTGTGGATGAAGACAGAGTGGGTGGAGACAAAGCAAATGAAGATGAGATATCAAAAAAGAGAGATACCTTAGCACAGAAATCGGCCAAAAAGTGGGTTAGAGGATATATCAAAAATCTTCATAAAGGTCCGAAAAAAGATAAAACTATCATATCCTATCTATGGAAAGAAGCACATACTTATGCGAAAAATTTATATGATACCACTTATGTTGATAAAATAGTAAAATGCTCGGGAAATGATGCTTATTGGTCTTCCTTTCTCAGCGCATTAGATAAGCAGGAGGAATCAATTCGCATAAAGCTAATGACATTACTTGCAGAAATTTCCCAAGACGATATAGGGAGCAGAGAAGAAATGTATAAATTTGTTACTAAGGCCAGTAAGTACAAATCTAAAGCCATGACCTTAGAAAAATATATGTTATATATTCAAGAAAATGGATATAAAATATTAGCTGATTTGCGGAGCACGTGGTACAAAGTGGTTGGCCTAGAAATTACACGCTATCGAGCGTCATCGAAGTTACAAGGTGATAAAAAAGATAATTCATCCAAAGCGGATATAGATGAGATCATCGAATTATATGGTTAAGTACTCTTAGTAAGGTCTGGTAATTCTAGCTAACTTAGTCATAAGACGCTTTGTATAATATTATTTATATTTTTTTCGTGCAATAATACCGGCTAACTTCAATTTCTATCTTCAAACTTCCGGCCTCTGATATGTATTTCTTTTTTCGAATTTATAAGAAAAAAGATATTAGTATTTTTAAATATATGCTTTCATAGTATAATGGCTGAATTGCGCGACCAACTTTCTCAGTACATAGGCTTCGAACCTAGTAAAATCTGTCTTCCAATTGCAGAGAAGGATATACAAGAATTTCGTAAAATAATAGCATATCAGAAGAAAATGACAGATATTGCAATGGATGAGTATCAATTTTTGCTACGCTATAGGCATAATGGTAAGGGCGGTAACCGGATCCATATTGGCTGGTTAGTAGCATGTACAGTATTTCAAGCTGAAAAGGTCTTAATTAATCTGCCCGAAGATTTATCAGAAAAGGTATTAGCTCATATTGAAAAAAGATTCGAAGAAGTCCCACTAGTGCCAATACTCATACGGTAGATATTTAGGTATTATCCCCGGCCTATCTGGTACTTCTTCCTCTATTTATATATTTTTTGTGAGCGGGATATCTGACTTTTTCTTTTGGCATGATGCTCTCCAAATTCCATAGCTTTTTCACAACGACTAACCATATAATTACGATTAATAGAAAAAGCAATATCGAGCAGGTAAACACCGATGATAGTAATTTGTCTATATCAATAGAGTTCCCCAAGCCACCTAATGAAATCTTTTCTTTGCAAATAGTAACAGGTATGATTTGTTCTGAAGAAGCGCTAGAGCTCTCTGGCTTATTATTTTTTTTGCCACCACTTTTTGCATATGAATCGGTTCTCTCGGGATCATCCGGCTGATTATTCTTATCAAAGTATCCTGAGGGGAATGAATTAATCACAGATTGAAGCGATTTCACTTCCTCTGATTTTGCATAATATTCAGCTTTATATTTGGCGAGAGATGTCTCCGCGCAAGCATATTGGGAAAAAAGTTTAGAATTTTCAACCTTCAACTGTCTGGCCTCATCATTGATCTTCATGTATTCGTTCCGCAACTTAGCATTATAATCTCGTATCTTGGATGAGTCTTGTAAGATGCAACGTATCTCTTTTTCAAGATCATATATTCCCATTTATTTACATTAGCCATAAACATGTAAAAAAAAAACTTTCAAATTTTATGTTAGAGAATAATCACAATAAATAAAAAATGAACACGAAGATTATCAATTGTTTTATTATTATTTTAGATAGCGTATTAGAATGTATTCTACCCACCTAAAACAATAAATTATGCTTTCTAACGTCCTCTCTCATTCTAAAATAATAAATATTGAATTCTAATTTTTTTTTATCCATCTAAAACGATAAATATTAATGCCTAATATTTTTTATGCATCTAAATACATTGTCTAAAAATATCGGAAGATTATGTCTACCTCAATTTTAAAAACCCATTATTGGCAGGGTGCCACCATTTTAACATCTGGACAGATTGAAGAAATTAGACATTTCAAAAATAAGGTCCCGGTGTACATGATAGTAAATAAGTACCATATTAATAAAGATCGTGTTCATGATATATGGAACGATTCTGAGCGTTCACAGCAAAATGAAAACCACTTTTTTGAGGAGCTTAGGAAAGCACAATCTATCTCTTCGGAGAATGGTTCAGAAGTTCATGCTAAACAACCTTGCGAAGCGTCTGATGAGTCAACTCCAAAAGAATCATCTGAGGTTGTGGGGGACCCTCTGGGACCATCACCTGCTGATATGAATGTGCAAAAAAAGCAAAAAAAGAAAAAAAAGCTGTTAAAGTCTGGATCCATTCGAAATTCTAACTTACCTAAAATTTTGGCCGGGGGTTCTTGCCAAAACTCCTTACTAGATGTCTCATATGAACTAATTACTTCGATTAAAAAAGATCGTATAGAATCAGAGGAGTCTATGCGTGAATCAGAAAAGCTCTTTGCTCTTAACTCACTTCGCTAAGCTAGAATATCTAGTTAACAAGGAAAAAGAGATCGGAGGTTTTTATTAATCTCAATTAATTTAGCTTTGGAAATGAGAGTATTATACAATATTTTTTCAAGCTCCTCATAGCTCATACGTTTTTTTTTAATACATCATCATACCTATTTAACTCCTGTGAGTCCTGTGATATATTATCCAGAGTCGAGAAATTGTCACAATTCAGAGTTATGTTTGCACAATTTATCTCAAGCTTGTTCTTGACCTTATGCATAGTAACTGGGATAATATAATCTTTTCTATTAAGAGGAATTTTTAGCTCATTGGTTTTCCAATCCAATGCACAATTGTATTTTTTCAAGAGCTGATTAGAAAATATTAACGTTGGCTTCTGATATTTCACAACAATAAAATCTTCATGGATAGTATAGCCTGGGGCTAGAGTAATGGGTAATTTGCGAACAACTCCAACAGATTCAACCAGAATAGTGGCAATACCACTAAGATTGTGTGTTTTAGATTTATCAATTTTAGCTCCCACACATATAACAATATTTTCTGTTATAATGGGAGGTTCAGCCCCAGAGTCCACTGTCATGGCTGGAATCTTTAAGCGCTTAATTTTATACTTTACAGTTGCGACACTTGTTTTTGGCTCCTTCTTCTTAATGAAATCAATCTCCATCGGACCATCCAAATCTTCTTCCTCATCTAGATCTAGCGATACAACCTCGGTGATTAGAGAAGTATTGCTTGGAGATTCTATCTTTTCCTGGATTAGAGGTGCTTGATTCAGTATATTAGCTTTAATAGGGTCTTGGAAGAAATGATCAGAAAAAATTAATTTAAGTTCACTTTGGAGGACTTTACGAATAGTTTCCTCCAATGAAGTTTTAGATGTTTTTTTAAGGGACGATTTCTTGAAACTAGAGTCTTGCTTCACTTTTTTTTTGACTTAGCTATGTTAACGGTGATATCACCTCCAGAATCGGAGGAATCCTCTGAACTTGTATCAGAGTCAGAACTATCACTAGAAGAAGTATCAGAAGAAGTACCTGAATCCGAATTCGAATCTATAGTAGCGATATTAACCTTACCCTTTTTAGACTTCTTACTTCTCTTTTTCTTCTTTCGAGAGCAGTTTCGAGAATTATGTCCAGATCTTTCGCAGGTGGAGCATTTGTGACCTGATGATTTCTTAACAGCACGTCTAACAGCAGTTTTTATGACACTATTTAATGTTAATCCTGCTAAACTATCTGAAATATCTTCTATAGGATCATGATCATATTCATCGGCAGAGTGTTTACCTAGATTTTTTCTTAGTAAGTCACTCAAAAAGCGATTAATGGCAGTATCTTCTGCTCTCTTCTTAGATGATTTTTTACTATTATCTAGAGTTTTAGTCGCTCGAGACATAGTCTCTTGAAAGGATTTAATGGTAGACTGCAAATCAGCATTTTGTTGAGCCGTTTGAGACTCTGAGGATGCCATTGCAGTTTTTATCAAATCCACGATTTCAGTTTTAGTCATTCCTGATTTGTTAGTGTCTATGTAGGGATTGGCTGCCAGAAAAGCAGGAAGAGAAGATGGTGTATTTCTTTGAGAAAGTGTAAATTTTTCTGCTTCAGCTAAGGCTCTTGTGATATTTTCCTGAGTATCCTCAAATTTAGCCATCATTTGAATATTATATTGGTTCATAGGATTTAAGCCATGAATAAATTGCTCTCTTTGTTGTTCGGGTGTCATTCCGGCCAATTTACCAACCTTTTTGATTCGAGTGGAGAACTCTTCAACACCCATGAGTTGACCAAAAACTGCCATTTGTTTTAAGTGTTCAACCGTCGTATAAGAAGTACTAAATAGATAAAGGAGTTGTTCAAGCTTAATACCAGGAGCAATTGTAACAGCAGGGAAACCTCCGCCAGCATTTGGTGTAACTGGTGCATTATCTGTAGGTTCACCACCGGCTATAGACCAGTCTTCATCCCATGTTCCATTCAGAATAATATTAGCACCAGTTGCGACACCTGCTCCAATTCTACCAATTTCTGCTCCAGCTTTGTTATGAAATTCTTCTGCAGTATTCAAACCACCAATCTGATTACCACCATTTCCAGCACCTATTGCTCGAACAGCAGTTAAAGTAGCTATACCTAAGTTATCTGAGAGATTATTACATCTCCAATTTTTGCCCTTAATACAGGTATTATACCAATTCAATGCAGGGC